TTTTTTGCCCAGCATCTATTTCTTGTTGGTGGGGGAAAAATTATCAAATTTATTTTCATTTCAGAGGAAACGTTTCCATGTAACGTTTTTTTCTCTGAAAACATTGTYTCAAAACCGAGACAATTAGCAATAACTGAAATATTGTAGATTGTGACTTAAACATTTTCATGAAGGTTTTTTTGTATATTATAGCAAAACTACACAAAAAACTGCAGAAAGAGCCATTAAGACTTTGAATGGGGCCCTGGCTGCAGCTGCACTGATCAAAAAGATAAGGAGAGAAGAATACATGAGAAAAGGAACACAGCTTAGCACTTCCAGGGTAGAGGCCATAGCCCCAAGGCTATGGGCTGCCAAATCAGCACAAATCCTGACACCCAAGTGTGGGGGGTGGGGAGGGTGGGGAAGGAAGAGAGGCTTTAGAATGTGTAGCCGAGAAGCCATTTGGTCAAGAGAGCTCATGGAACATCCGTCCTCTGCCGCATGAAGGAACCTAGCTGATGGGACCCCCAACCTTCAGACAAGCATATCTACATGGAYAGACCAGGGGTATTGTGACACATCAGGGGCCCCTGCTACAGACACTTCCCTATCAACAATGATCATCTGCTGAAAAAATAGAATAGGTGTCACATGCACGCAACTCCAGGGGCATAAACCTCATCATTGCACATGTCCTAAAAAGGCGGATCCATGTTAAACAGTTCCTGGAAAATTCTGAATATGTACAAATGCCTATGAATAGGCATTAAGCTGATGCAATATCAAAAATATTTAAAGAGGTCTTTGTCATACCAGGTGTGCTTCCGGCAAATTGCCAAGGCACTCAGTGCCATATCTTTTTGCTTATATGTATCCTATTGTCATTTATTAAAACTTTTAAATTTTAACAGGAGAGTGAATTTCATCTTTCACACCATCAAAACAAAATGTTAGAAAAGTCTTTAGCAAGAATAAAAAAGAAAAGAAATTGAACTCATTCTACTTGACTTTGGTCAGCTCATAAAAGCAAATRTATGGAATAGTTGCCAATGAAAATAGGACACTGAAATTGAGGACCGTCCATTTCCATATTCCCGTGTTTCGGAATTTCCAAACATAATGTGTACATTATTTTGAAGGATTGAGGCTTTGGCAGGCTTGTCCTTTTTCATATATTAGTCCATTTGCAAAATAAGTTTCAGTCGTATACATGCTGTCAACCTCTCTATCTACCTCCCTCAGATTTCCTATTCATTAGTGACAGTGAATGGAGAAAGCTTCAACGATCGGGCTGCAAGCGACCCCTCTCCTTGGCGGTGAGGYACATTCTCGGAAGCCCGGGAAAAAGTACCCGGGAAATCGGGCTATGGGAGGTACCCTAGCACACAAAAGCAGTGACCTGCTACACAATAGGCGCCATTTCCTTCGGATTTCTTGGAGGGGGCAGGGGCTCGCCTGGAAAGTCAGCTTAACCCTCCTCCTCCCCTTTTCCTCTCTGTGGTCCTGCTTCTTTCCCGGCTGTCTTCCCTGTCCTGCCCTGATGTGCCGCTTCCCGATGCAGCTCCGTCGCGGGGACAAGCTTGTGCTCCGCTGTTTGCCCCACACAGCAGCTGCCGCCTTGCACCCTGCCTTCACCCAGGCAGCAGCCACCRCACCCGGGCCCTGGCAGCCGCAGCTGCCCCACGAGTGTGCCCGTAGCTATGGCAGCCTGTTCTTCGATGGGAGGGACACACAGCTGGGGAAATAGCGCCCATCTACCAGGGGAGTCACGCAGACTCCTACAGCGCGCAGCACACACGCTCCATCCACCGGTCTCGCGGACGGGGCGCCCGCAGCATAGCGGTAATGATCTGTACGGTATTCTGTTTCTCTCTCAGTCTCTCTATTCCCTTCTTTGCTCCCTTTTATATTCCACATAAGTAGGAACACTTACCCTTCTTTATCAATAAACGGTTCTCAGACATAATATTGCCGCATTTGTGGGTTTTTTTGGTCTGAGAAATCTGTTTTTAAAAAATCCTTCCCGACTCCCCTTTACAGCGGGACGGAACACCTGGCTAATAAATTAAATTAAAAGAAACTAGAGGAGAGGACCACAAGTTCCTGAGCTAACCTCCCATCGGCCTCAGAACTGTTGAAGTAGGTGGGAAAACTGCCAAGTGTTCAGGACAAATATTTTTGGAGTCTGAAATAACAGTGACATATTTCAAACAAAGTGTAGGTCAGGAAAAATCACTTAAATTTAAGTTAGTCTTCTTATTCAGACAAATTGAGAGAGAAGGGTAATACCAATTATGAAGCAGAGGAAAAATTTAAGAAAAAGGCATGGRGAAAAAGATGGTAGTGTCTGTGGAATGGGAATGAGAGTAAGAAAAGCACAGCTGAGCAGGCAGTGGGATATGAGACAAGGTGTGACACGTGCCACCTGGCCAAGGTGAAATGGATCTCCCCTTTGATGAAGCCGTGTCAGCAATAGTTGAGCTAGGAAACAGGGCAACATGCTACCTTGTTTCTGGCTTTTGGCAATCTCACAAAAAAAACCTTGGTTTTCATAGACTGTTAGATTTGATTTCTCATCCCTCATCCCTCAAATTGGAGAAAATCTTCAATATCATCTTCTATCCAATCCTAAATATAGATTTTGTGAATTTAATACTGAGCAAGTATTCTGACCTCTTACTAGGCAATCACTTTATTTTCAGTTTCCTATTCTGTGCCATTCATCTAAAATCAACACAGTAAAATAATAATTTTAGTAATTAGTCTAATCATTTAAGTTAGATAAAGGTAAGGGAACAGATCATGCCCCATTCTCAAGTGGCCCACCTCCACTGCGAGACTGATGTAGGACAGAATACATTCTGTCTATGAAGTGGTCTCTGCTGGATAAGTGATCACTTCATTTACTATTCCTTTTATCTTTTTCAATACAGCCCAGAGCAGCATCATTAAGACTGAATTACACAGCTCTCAGGTTGCAAACCCAGAGTAATACTGCTTAAATGACAGAAATTACTGTATATTACCACTTAGGCAGGTTAGTGCAAASCTTGTCTCATGATGTGAGTCCTTCAGATTCAGGGGAGCCCATCTGAGTCCCTTCTCACTTGTATTAGTATAAATCTAGAATAATTTTATGCAAGTCAATATATCATATCTGAATTTATCTCGGCAGCAGGAAGATCTCTGCTCAGGGTTACTACTTCATTAATTTCAATTCTTTACAGCTGATGATCTGCCAGGTAACTTACTAGAACATTACATATCTAGAATTTCAAGCATTAAAATGGCATTAACTACATCAAAAGCAAAGAAGAAATGAACTAGAAATATGTGAATTAATTCTTTCCAACAGTCAGATTATAGCATGACCAAACATGACAAATTTTCATTGCTCTTTCATTAATTAGATTAATTTCTCCACTATCATTCTTTACTGTTGTCAAAACCACTTGCATTTGCAGCAATTTGAAACGATGAAAATTTGGATGTGCTGTAGTAAGTGGTCATGTGACTTTAAACACATTTGTACATTTGAATCTGCACAAAATAGCTGTCTTCATTGTATTTTAATTCTGGTAGTAAGCAAACCAGGGCCAGAGGACACTAAAATCTACTGTGCATCCTTAATGACTTCCATGACACTGTCATTAGGCCTTGAGGATCTCAGTTACCCAGTGTGTTATGGGCACTCAAAATTTTAATCAAATCAAGACATCTTACTCAAGTCATTATGCACCCCATAGACCCAAAAGGCATGGAGAAAAATCTCCTATCTTTTTCAAGGGGTATTTCACCACTAGATGGAAAAGATTTAGCAGCTTCCATTATGTCCAATCCAAAGAGCAGGCCAATGGCCAGCACAGAGAGCCAAAATGTCAGACCAGCTCCAGTCCTACACACGAACCAGGCTGAGCAGCATGCTAACACAAGCTGGTTTTTTTCCACTGTAAAGGAACATCTTGTTTTTCTTGAATTTTGATCTAGTTTTGATCTAGTTCATCCTTTCTTGGTGAAACGGGAAGAAACAAATCTGCTAAAGGTTATGGGTTTGATTTCTAAAACAAATCTGTCATAGAAGTCTTAAAAGGTTCTTAAAATCTATTAGGCACGCAAAATCCTGCTATGTAGAAACTGCTGTTCTCTGCTCATCTAGACAAGAAGTGAGCCCCACAGAAGGCACTGTTGGCTCATCAATCCTCTGTCCCCAGAAGATGTACACTGCCTGCTTACACACACACACATACATGCTCAAATGGTAACAAAGAGATTTTAGTACAATCCAAAAGTCTCTGGTTATTATTTTGCTGCAGCACTAATTCTTCCACCAATATCCAAAAGCAAACTAGGCATTGCATTCTTGTTGGCAGCAGCATTCTCCTATTACTTTTGCCCAGCAATGACTGAGAAGACTTATTTTTGCTTTGAAGGGTGCTACCTATATGTCAGAAACATCTACTTGGAACTCTCCTAATGCCTCTGGCTTTGTGCTATATAAAGCTGTGGACTTCCACCAGTACAAATGTGTTCTGAGTCTCAGGTTAGGTCCTAACTGCCCAGCCTGTTCTTAGATTTATAGCCAACAGTGCAATACTGAGCAAACAGACTGCTTTAGTACGGCTGGAGAACACTGAAACCCTTATATCCAGCTTCTGCTCCCAATGACACAGTAAGCATGGGAATATATAGAGTTGAAAACATGATTTCAAATATTTTCTTTAGCTACTATATTCCAGCCTCTATGGAATATAAATCCTTGCAGGAAAAACACATGAAGCTGAATAATTCAACTTTCATCAAAATTCATAGGCTGAAATAAAAYTCAAGTTACACAAGTTGACACTCTTATCATAGATCAGTATTATAATCACGGGGGGTTTGATTTGATGTTGCTTAAGCAATATTAGTGAAATATAAATAATACCCACTACCTTTATTTTATTTCCATGGTCTTAAAATACTGTAGCCAAGCCAGCTGCACTATTTGTCTCAAAAAAACTTGATTTTATAAGTCACAGAACTACAATAAAAATATCCATTATCCACACACAGATAAACAGGTACATATGCTCTTAAATTCAAACATACAGGAGAAAATGTCTCACCTAGTTAATGGAAAAGCAGCTGAGATAGACAGGTACAATAACTGACAAAATGATAGTATTCGGATAATTTTGCAGTCACTTTTTATTCCAAAAGGTTGTATTTTTTGTAAACCTGGCATTTCCAAAACAATGCAAGTGAATTAGAATATAGGTGAACATAGGCTTCTAAATACAAGTGACATCAATAAAAGTGAACACATTCTTCCAACCACAAGTTCACAAAAAGAAACATACAATTTTACAATACATAAGCAGTGACATTCTGAGAAAAAGAAGTGACAATGGTGCAGGTGCTCTACAGTGTATGCAAACCAAGCCCCAAAAGCAATTAGTCTTCATGCCAGTTTCACCAATGCACATTGATGAATGAAATGAATGAAATTCTACTTTTATTTATATCCAAGAAACCCTAGCAAATAAGTAGACTTGGACAAAGGATAGAAATTAGCTCCATGACTCCGTTAATTCTTTAGTGAAAGTAGTGTTATATATTTCCATGCCACATGGATACTATGCTTTAAACTTGTGCAAGACTCCAAAATGTGCCCACRAACAGAAGACTCAAGAAAGTAGACATTAACTACCATCAAAGAAAAAACTTTAAGTAACTATTGCTCACAGCAAGCTGGGCTACCTGCTCATCACTGACTTGGTATGTGGGATCGTTATCATTCATGTATTAAGGCAGAGAGAGAACTGTTTTCACTGTTATGTTTGGCATTGCAGAAGTCTTTGCCACTTTGAGATAAAAAGATTACTTAAGTGGTTTACAGACTTGGAGTTCACACTAAGAATAACTTCTCAGATAATCCAAGCAATTTATGAGATGACTTCAATTCAGAGGTGGCTCCAATATTTTCCACAGTTTGTTATATCCTCATTATAACTGAGCAAATACAAGAACAATTTATTAAAAAAAATAGCAGTTGTTTTTGTTACCTACAGTGGCCAAGTACCAGAGCATGCTAGTGACATTCTTAGAGTACACTAGCTGTGTTGTTGCTTGGGGAGAACCAATGGAAATTCCAAGACCCAAACACCTTGGTTTTTAAATGAAAATATTGCTATTCAAGATGGCTCATTCCTGTGCTGTGAGCCACCAAACTGTGAAATGACTGTGATCTTGACATCAAGATGGAAACTACATGGGGTTGCAATAGCACAGACTGCGATACTAAGTCATATTTTTCTTTGATTCCCACTCCCCATCCCTCCCAAATTTCTTCTTCATCATGTTTTTTTTCTGAGATTCTTTTCTTCCTACCCTAAAAACAATTTCAGGGGTACTATTTGTCAGAAAACCCCTTGCACATTGTAAGCTTCAGATATCTCAGATGCCAGAGCATTTGAAAATGTCACTGCCCCACTTCTAAGCTTCCTCCTGCATAGCTTATAGCTRGTGTAAAGTGAGCCTGGTGGAAAAAACAGGCATTGTAAATTCAGCAAGCCTTTCAATAAAGTTGTCCAAGAGAACTGATAACGTTGTCTCAAAATCAATTAACTGCAGAGGACTTGTACAATGACTACGCCCAGCCAAGAAGAACAGCACAAAGAAACTAACAAGTAGCTGACAGTTGGGAACTTCCAGAGCCCTTAAAGCAATTTCCAAAGTMACCATGTCTCTAGATATTTATAACGATTTCTAAATTAAAAACACATAAACCCCAGAAATTCTATAGCTCAGCTCTGTTCAATACACTGTTGAAGTATATTACAGTTTCGTAAAACTTTGGGATTAGAAACTGATTGCAACCAACAGATATTAGTGGGACTTTTTAGTTGATTTTTAAGGAGTGGGAAAGTGCAACTGCAGTATTTTAATATGAAGAACTGGTATGATTCGTTGTCAAATCTAACTATCGTAACTGAAAGCAAGAGCCACAATGGAATTTGATTTTTTTTTTTTTTAAATAAGGGAAAAAAAATTTGGAGAGTATTCGTATAAAATCAAAACCATTCATGACAACAGAACTACTACGTGCTTAGCAGTGATGATATTAAGAATTTGTGGATTATTTCAACAATACAGCATTTATCTAGCCAACAACTAGATTTTCTCTAAGGGATGACTTGTGCTGGATCAATTCTATGACAATTCAAGTCAGAAATCAAAAATGTCCAATGCGGGCTCAAATGAAATTTATTTGATTTTTACAAATAAAACCATTTTTGCTTTGAGACAAAAAAAAGTTCCATTAAAATCTGACATGTTAAATTGGTAACTTTTAAAACTCTCTTCTTCATGTAGTTTTAAAAGATATTTCAAAGGTATAATTAATTTTTATTTTTAAAATATTTCAAAGTAAATTTTTGTTAAAAAAGTGGAAATTAATGATTTCAACTTTTCAAAGGGAACTTCCTCCTTTTTTGGATGGAAACTTTAAAATTCAGTCCAATTCACAACTAGTTTAACTTGTGCCCTGAAGTATTTTTTCAGCAATTTTTCCTTTTTAATAGTTGTTTTSGGGCTCAGTTTTAGAGGGGCAGATACTGAAGAGTCTTATAGATAATAAAACAGACCTCTTTTTTTAGCAAGTACTTTAAGCAATTTCAATTTATAGCTGTGAATCAATCTCACATCCAATATCTGTCTGACCTAAGGGTTTTTTTTTTTTTTTTTTTAACAAAAAAAACAGTTAGATTTTGTTGGTTAACGAAACTAATTGATGTCAGACATACCATACTGCGAGGAATTCAACAGCCTTCAATACTAGAAGCAGATACAGATTAGATATTAGAAAGAAACTCTGCTGTGAAGGTGATGAGAAACTGGAACAGGTTGCTCAAAGTTGTGGATGGTCTGTCCCTGGAAGTGTTCAAGGGTGGGTTGCATGGGGCTCTGAGTAACGTGGCATGGCCATGGGCATGGAGTTGGAACTACATGATCTTTAAGGTTCCTTCCAACACAAGTCATTCTTATCACTCTTTGACTCTTTGATAATACAGCAGCTCAAGACCAGACTGGATTGGGCTTTGAGGAACACAGTCTAGCAAAATGTCTCTCTGCCCATGGCAGGAGCACTGGAACTAGATCTTTAAGGCTCCTTCCAACACAAGCCATTCTATGATTCTGTCTCTAGACGAAAATGCAATAGTGCAGTCAAATGCCACTTGGYTTTGCACTCTGATGGAAAATCTGCACTCCACTACATATGCTTACAACACTGCTGTGGCTTCTGGCTTAAATGACCATTCGTCACACAGAATATGTCAAATCACTAATTGTTGTTTTAAGAAAGATAGCTGAACAGACTAGTAGTTTTTCTTGTCAGATGTTTAATCAATACACTTAATTAAGACTATTTTCTACATAATGTATGCAGATAGCTAATAGTTTATAAATATTGATTGGTACTGTAGTAATAGCAGACACTTGATGATGGTGGTGGTAAAATGCAAACAGGAATATGGATGTGGTCCATTTTTTAGAATTTGAAGCTATCATGAATATGGCAAGGAGGAGCAAGAATAAGACCTGTTCTTGAGCAGATTTCTTGCATGTTCTCTGCGTTCAAATTTCCAAACGTCCAGCTGTTCTTTTACCATACCTGTAAGGAATAAGACATCCTGCAACCTTTCAGTCCTGGTTTCACTTTCTACCACAGAGCTCAGCACTTCCTTCCTTTACATGGATTTTACATGCCATTTACTTCTTATTTACACAATGTGCACAATACAAGTAGAATCTAAAGCCAAGTCTTACACAGTTCCATTATTTCTATTCAGAAATCCAAGAGCTTTTTGAATAAACACACTTGAATTGATTAAAATTAGATTTCTTCTAATTCAACAAATTATTTATTAAGGAATTACCAGCAATAAAAGTGGAAAGATGAGATCCTATAACATCTGCACTTTGACTAAACTTCTCAGTTTTTGAGGAAGTACATTCAGTACTTGAAACACCCAGATGAGCAATCTCAAGACTCAAAGAACCAAAGATTTTAATCTGTGCATCCACTTATCTCTCTTAAAATTGTCATATAAACAAACTCATGACTCAAGTATGTAATTCACATGGCAGACATAATGCTCATAGCTTGTAGCAATTCATCACTTACTTTGACAGCAACAGATTACAATCATTAACAGTAGCTTTAAAACTATCTCTCTTAATATGAATATTACATAATTTCTTATTTTTTTTTTTAATTTAAAGGAATTTGTCAATGCCACAGTGGCTGGCCCCAACGATATCCTTCTGGTATCTCAACTGTACAGTCCTAGAGACTGCAGGAGAAAACTTCACAGAACATTTTGTGATGTTTTCTTCAGTGAGCCAAAGCAAGCTACATTTTGCTACTTGTCACTGAAGAAGTATTTTCATCCTCTCCCATTCCGGCTAGTAAAGGACAAACTCAAGATATCACTACTTTAGGTTCYTTAGCTTATAAATCAAACACCAAATTCAACTTAAAGAAAGAGACAGTGAAAAGATTTTGGCTTATTTCCATTAAATTATTTAGATATGATACTACGAAGCCTTGTGAATAAAGCATATGAGGATTTCAGCTACTTTTATCTGCAAATCTCTTCTTTCTCTCTTGCATTAAATTTATGTATCTATATGTGTGTTCCCAAAGATTTAGCCAGATATCAGTGCTTGAGTGAACAATATAGCTGTTCAATAGGAATTATAAAATATTGATACAAATATAAAGACATACTCAATATAAAAAGCTTACATTAATAAAAAATATTTTTAGGTAAAAGTCTTCCCCTTAGACTATACCACATAGTTGGATTCATAAATATTGCTCTGCACTGCAGCTTGGTTATCAAAGTTCAACTCTTAAATTGAATGGATTTCTTAATGGATTGCTCCAGTCACCTGACATGGCTGCAGTGGTGGTTTCAGGATATGTTCCCTAGCTTTTTGGAGTAATAAAGACACAGCATCAATGGGGTCTCCGAAAAATCTGGAGAAGATTCCTTCTTCCACATATGGAAGATACGAGAGCAGGACCTATAGGTTAGTGAGCAATGTCACATGACTGGGCTTTTGTTCTCATGGGCAGTTTACTGATTTTTCTGGACCCAGTTCCAACTATCTTCATTCTCCTTTCTGCTCTTTTCAGCCTCAATAATTTCTTTGTACCTCCGGCGGAAGAACCCCATCTGCAAATCAGAACAGATAACAGTCATAAGTTATTGAATCATTAAATTGAAACTTACTTGGTCAGTATGATGACAGATAACATTATGCAGAAAGACCCAGGCCAGGAGTTAGAATTTAACTCCTCCAAGTGCCAATCCGAAATCATAGCTCTTTATTTACATCAGTATAAATGAGGTCCCAAATCTCCACAAGTACTCTGCTCCTTATAGATTAACCACTCTGAGATAGAAGCCCTCTTATATATGAAGGATGATTAAAAAAAAATAAAAGCACATAAAGTATTTCTAATAAATACAGACCAGAAGAGGCAGATACAGGTTTATTGGTTTAAAATAGAGACTAATACAAATTTGGAACTGAACCTAAAAAGCCAGGCTAACTCTTGGGTCCTGAGTAAATGCAGACAGTCTTATGAACCATGCTCTCAGTGTGTACAACTGGACAAAACAAGAGAGATCAGAGGAACACAGTACAGTCACCCACCTCCCAGCTTCTCAACTCCAACTCTAATCACTGATAGTCACTTTTGCTTATCTTCTTGTTTCCTAAATCCTTGTACTTATAGAAATGCAAGTGGTTTTCATCTCAGTTTGGATAAAAATTCTCATATCTCTGTTTTTTRAGACTCTCAGACAAAACTTATTTTAATAACAGACTTTGCTAAACATTCAAGAATAACTCCTAAACTTAGCAGTGCACTGTTGAGATCATTGAATAAATATTTTGTTCAACATAATTAAACATTTATGTAATCCCTACCACAGCAGCATGAGACTATGSATACACCATCCTCTCATCAATCCTTATCTCTGCCTCTTACCTTCTGTGCAAAGGACATAGAAGCTGCAATGTAGTGTAGAAGCCCCTTTCTTTTGGCAACTGGGACATGCTAATAATCCAGAGATAAGTGTACCCTGCTAGGAGCATAGGTGCACATTGCAAACACACCTATTGTCCTAGCGCCAGCCAGCCAGGGTTAATTTCTGCAGTAGCCAACGAGGGCAGGGCTAGAACCCAGAGATTATTCTACACCATCTCATGTCATTGCCAGGGGTGGGGGAAGGGAGTCTTTTCCAGGGGAAGTGTTTCCTTCGGGTCAAGAAAGCGTGGTGGAGGGAACAGTGAGGCAATGCTGGTTCTGAGCCAGAAGGAGCAGTCCAGGTAACATGGCTGCAGTTGGGTTGGGCTTGGTAGCATTTTCCAAGTGAATAACTCTTTTCTATTTACTTGTTATTAATATTGTTGCTGTTACTGTTTGTTTTCTTATCTCATTGCTGTTTCCAGTACATTGTTCCTATTACAGCCCAGGATCTTAGTAGTTTGTACGTCCAATTCTTCTCTCCATCCTGCCACAGGGGAATTTGGCATGTTTCAGTGGGAACATAAAATTGAAGAATACAATTCCCAAACCATGACAGCCTAATTTGGTAACCAAGTGGGACACAAAGGTTGTGATAACAACAGATTTGCCCAGAGCAGGCTGGAAAGAAATTGCACTTAAGCATTTGTTGTATTAGGTACATCGACACTGGTTACAATGTTGCTTGATCTGTTCATGTGGTTGTGGTACCTAACCCTGTATATATTCCTGTATGTACTCCTTGCAGTGCTCTTTTTCAGAGTAGGAAGAAGGATCAGGATTACTTTGTTGATGAACAGTGTGATAACAGTTTATCACATGATAACAAGCAATGAGGATCATCTGGGGTTTGGTATACAGTGTTGTTCTGCTACCCTGGTCTCAGGCCCAACGTTTGGCAGTCCAGTAACAATCATACCCAGTCTGTGGGGGGAATAGGGAAGGATGACTTTCCCCAGCCTTTCAACTCCTTTTTCTTGCTTCAGGACTGTTAAAACAGCTTGTGAGAATTTTGAATTCCCTTTGGATGTTAAGGAAAACATGTTCTTCTTGCTAAGTCTGCCAGGTCTCCTCAGTGCAGTTCACATTATGGTTAGAGTCAGAAATTTATAAGGATGGTCATTCAAAGATGTGTCCTGATGGTGGACAGCCATGAGTGGCATTGAATGTGGGAGGAAAAAGCCCAGTTGTGGGAAAAAWTATCTGCTCCAGTGTCTTGGAAGTTCATTCCTAAACAAGACCCCAATAAAGTGAAAGAATATTTGCAAGGAGAAAGCTGTGGCAATGCCAGAGAAGACCTATTTTTTGCAGTGTGCTTGGCCTGGCTCCTATTTATGAGGCACTGCTCTGTACTAGACAGCACCCTTCGGCCGGGGGGAGGAGAAGGAAAACAGACCAGCAAGCACTGTGAACACTCAAACTGCAGCTGAACGAGAACTGGCACCAGTAGCAGGTGACCTTATAAAGAAATTAGAGAAAAATTCAGTTCTCTTAGTGAGGTATGAAGAGGAATAGGGCACTCGCAACAGGAGGAAGAGGCAGGGCCAAAAAAAATTGCCAAATCCCTACCCCCATGTGAGCTGCGAGATATGGGAAAACATTTCAGCAACCAGCCAGGAGAGCTCCTTGTGACCTGCCTGCTCTGATGCTGGGAAATCAAAACCTGCAACATGAAACTAGAAGGTAGTAAGGCCATCCCTGTCCCATGATGCAGGCATTGACAACATGATTTGGAAGAGATGAGAAACTCTCAGCCTCTGGAGACAACATCTGTGAAACATGAGGGAAAGACATTCTCTCATGGATGACCTAATAGTGCTCTGAGACRAGTGGAAAGCCATGGAGAAAGGTATCCCGGACCTGAGAGAATTAGCTGTGCTGGAGGTAATCTGTGGAGATTCATATAACAAACAGTCCCCTGTAGATCCATATCAGGTCCAGCGTACACAATCCATATGGCAGAAGTTTGTATGGAGGGCACCATTGTTGTACGCCAACCCTTTGGCATTGATGTCAATAAAGAAAAAAGAAACACTGCTTCATGCTGTTACCCGACTTTGACAATATGAAATTCATCATCTTTTTCCCTACCAATCTGCATTTCAGCTGTGGAAAGGCTGTCCAAGACTGCAGATCAACTTGAAACAGTCTTGATCAAGCTAGAGAGGAAATGTCCCATTGTCCTACTAGTATGGACCAGAGTTTCTGCTATTGGGAACATGTACCCCGCTTGCTTGAGAGAGGGGTACACAGCACAAGGTAACCTGCAGTTTCATCTGTGTGACCACARAGAGGATGTGAGGAAGTGGGATGGTAAACAAACCTATGCCCTAACAGCATGGATGCATGAGTTGAGAGGAAGAACAACCACCAAAGGAAATTTTTCAAAGATAAATGCTGCTCGTTTCCAGTGGGCAAGTCCTCAGACAGAATGGAAGAGCTGAATATTATTTCTGATCCTCTTGAAGGGATCTCTGGTTGATACTTACAAAAACTGAGCAATGACTGCCATGACCAGAAGTAGAGGAGACCTGCCTGCAGCCAAGTGGAGGAAAGGGACATTTGGATCTACTGGACTGTGTGGATCCCATGGCCTGGCACATCAGACCCACAAGAGTATAAGGCTTTAGTTGACACTGGCACACAATGTACCCTCATGCCATCGAGATCCATGGGGGCAGACTCTATCTTTGTTCCTGGGGTGACAGGGGGATCCCAACAGCTGACAGTACTGGAAGCTGAGGTGAGCCTGACTAGGACCAAAAGGCAAAAGCACCCCATTCTGATTGGTCCAGAGGCTCCATGCATCCTTGGCATACATTAACTCAGGACTCGGTATTTCAAGGACTCAAAAGGGCTATTGGGACAGCTGCTGTAGAGACAGAGGAAATCAGACAGCTGAACACTTTGCCTGATCTCTCAGAGGACCTTTCTGCTGTGGGACTGCATAGGGTCAAAAGCAACAGGTACCAATGGCTACAACAACAGTGCGTCATCAACAATATCGCACCAACAAGGACTCCATGACCCCCATCCATGAGRTGATTTGTGAACTGGRGAGGCAGGGAGTGGTCAGTAAGACTYGTTCATACTTTAATAACTTCATATAGCCAGTGCRTAAGTTCAGTGGAGATTGCAGACTGACAGCGGACTACCATGGCCTGAATGAAGCCACACCACCACTGAATGCTCCTGTGACAGACATGCTGGAATTTCTGTATGAACTGGAGTCCAAGGTCCCATTATTTACCATAGACTCATCCACACTGATCTGGAAAAGGGTGTGTCTCCAGAACAGTTGCAATACATTAGTGATGCCATTGTGTGTGACAACACAACACAGGAATTTTTTGAGAAAGGGGAGAAGCGAATCCAAATCCTCCTGAAGGCTCGTTCTATCATAAAGTAAAGTAAGCTCAAGGCACCTGCCCAGGAAATTCGGTTTTCAAGAGTAAAATGGCACGTGGATATCATCAGATTGCAATGGGTATGTGTATGGAATTCTACATGGCAAGTCACAGGAGTTATTAGGGCCAAACTGGACCAGGCCAGTTTGCTGAGCTGAAAGCTGTCCAGTTGGGTTTAGGTATCAATGAATGAGAGAAATGATCAGTGCTCTACCTGTACTACTCATGGATGGTAGCAAATGCACTGTGTGGCTGGCTAGACTGATAGGAAAAAGATCTGTTGGCAGCACAGAAGTAAACCCACCCCGACAGCTGAATTCTGGCAAGATATCACTACCCAGATAGAGAAGCTGGCTGCATGTCATGCAGACATACCTGTATGTCTTGCCATATCCATGAGTCAGGCTACTGAAGAGCACCACAACAGACAGATGGATTAACTTGCCAAGATTAAAATGGTTTAGGTGTATCTGGACTGGCACTGTAAGGGTGATTTTCTTCTGGCTTGGTGGGCCCCTGACAACTCAGGTCATTAATGAAGAGATGCAATATACAGATTGACTTGTGATGTAGGGATGAACTTAACCATGAACACCATCTCCCAGATTATCCATACCTGTGAAACATGTRCTGCAGGCCAAGAAGGAAAAGCCCCTGTGGTACTGGGACAGCGGTCGAAATATAAATATGGTGAGGTCTGGCAAATCGATTACATCACATTCCTGTAAACCCA